GCCGCCGGGGCGGGGGATTACCGGGATTAGCCCCCCCGCGGCGGGGGCGGGTGGCGGACAGCGTCCCGCTCTCTCGGGGGAAGGGGCTCCGCGAGCAGCGGGGCGCTGTCGCCTGCCTCCCCCCCCGCTCCGTGCGAGGCCGTCGGGTCCCCGCAGGAGGGGTCCCCTGGCCAGGCACGGGCCTTGAGGGGGGCTGAGCGCCTGCCTACGGCCCTGGCCTAGCCCACGCCGTGGCCACGGAGGGCACCGCAGGGACTGGACACGACTCAGGGGGACACACGGGAGGCTGTGCACTGTGGGGTTCATATGGGTGTCCACAAATAGTGGTACATGCAGAGGTGTGTGCCCAAGGGGCTTGCACACACACGTGCACATGGGCTCTGCCTCCCTTCAGCTCACCCTAGCATCTGCGCAGGGGTGTAGAGGGACCCGGCTAGGCACCCCTGCGGGGGCAGCAGGGCACTGAGCTCCTCTGCCTGGTCCAAAACCTGCAGGAAGTGAGGCAAATCCTGTCTGGGTGGAGGAGCACTGATCCCAGAGCAGCCTGCCGGAGGGATCCTGGCCTCACCTACCTGCCCGTGGACCCTACAGACCTGCCCCCACAGCCTGGGCATTGCCCCCCGGGTACCCCCTTAGCCATCCTCACAGGGCCAGTCTTGTTTATTGCTGACAGAAGACCCAGCAGAGATCAGGGGCAGTTCCCAGGATGACCCCTGCAGCTCCCTGGGGACTGTTCCCATCTCTGGGCTTTTGTCACTCCTACCTTGTGACGAGTTTGGGGGTCTGAGCCTATCCTTTGGACTCTCTGGTCCAGCCTCACCCCAGGACAGAGCTGGACAGGGCCAGCGAAGGTGTATACTATGCTCCCTCCTCCCCACAAATTAAAATGGATGTTTGTATGTACTGAGGGCTCATGAGGTGGCAGCCAGCGTCACATCAACCTGAAGATATTATTCGGATTCTTAGCTCCAGATGCTGTGCTTAGAGCAGGGTGCACAGCCTGAGCCAGGGCAGGGTCCTATAGAAATCTCCTGAAAGCGGTACAAGGTGACATGCTGTTGCGGGAGCAGGAGAGCCCAGCGCTCTTGTGCCAGAGCAGGGAACCCACAGAGTGCGGTGGGAACCTGAAACCCAGCCAGCCCTTCAGGCATGTCCTGTGCCCACCGTGCCGTGCAGCACTGACTCCGAGGTCTTGACCACACAGAGCCCCTGCCTCTGGCCAAGCACAGAGGTGACATGTAAACAGAGTGGGCTGTCTGGGAAAAAGCACTCACCGGAGATGATGCAACTATAGTGCAAGGGGCAAAGTTCTCAGTTGGCTGGGCCTGCTGGCAGCTCCCAGAATAGCCCAGGAATGTCAACAGGGAGGGAAGAGTGGGCACAGCCTGGCCTGGGAGCACAGCTCCCACAGGGCCTGTGAGCCCCGGCTGCAGGCAGCGCGCAGGCAGCACACAGGCAGCATTGCCTGGGCACCAGCAGGACCGAGCAGATGGCACTTTCACCCAGGCACAGGTGCACCGTGCATGCTCACAGTGCACACGCACTCACTTGCACAGATGCTCAGTGGTACATACACATCTGCACACTCCCTGGCAAACACATGTGCAGTCCCCTATCCCACATATTTGGATACATGCTCTGTTTGTGGACATGCTCACATGTGCACCGCATGCCCATTCCCCTGCCTTTTACTCCATGTTCCCATACTGGAAGTGGAGCATTTCCTTTCTGGCTCTCAGGGCAGATTAAATTCCCCACAGGGCAGGGCTGCTCCTGCCTTCAACCCATGGAGGGAACCAGGCCTGACACTCCTCCCACATGCAGCAAGCTGGAGGGAGTCCCAAGCTGCATCACTGTACTGGCTCAGATGCCAGGCTGGGGGGGGGTCCTTAAAACCTCTGTGTCACCACCACCTCCCAGCAGCCACACCACAGCTTCACACATGCAGGAAAGGGAAACTGAGGCACAATGCTGTGCTGAATTCCTCCTTCCCTGCCAGATCCACAGAGCCAGGATCCAGGCTGTGGCACAGCATGGAACGCAGGATGCAAAGAGTTGTGGCAAAAAGGGTGAATTACTCTCTAACCCACCATCCTTTCCAGGCTGGGGAGTAGGATCTCCCCAAAGGGATTAATGCCTTTGAACCTGCCAGGATCCCTCTGCACTGGCCAGCACCCCACAGTTGCCACCATGAACCCCCATTTCACCTCCAGCTTAGCAAGAGCATCCGATCTGTCTGCCCCTTCACAGCTGCATGCCCCCCCGCGCACTCCAGTCCACCAGATCTAGGCCAGGGGTCAGCGCAGAGCTGTGAGCGGTTCTTGCACCCATTGCATAAGTGTGCTGTTGATTAAGCAGTTCCCAGAAAGCAAAGCCCAGGGACTGGCTTGACCAAAATACCCGCCCTGGTCCCCCCCAGGGCCAGCACTTGCTGCACACATGGCTTCTGGGCCTCCAACCTCATGTCCGGTGGGGCAAGTGCGGCACCTGACAACCTGATCTAGAGGTGCCAACAGCCTGGGTTAAGCCGGGACCCCCCCCAAGAGCTCATGCACCAGCACCTGAGCATGGCTCCTGACAGAATGCCCATTTCTGCACGGCTCTGCCACTGATGTCAGCCAAGTAAGTGCCAAAGCCAGCTGTGACCCTCGCCCAGGGACCATGGCGTAGGCCAGGCTCCGGCACTGAAAAGTTTCCTCCCCACAGGCCCCTCTTCCCTGGAGCAAGCGCTAGAGGCCGCAGACTGGACGAGTACCCACGCTGGGGGCTCGGGGGAACAGCCGACAGGGCTGGCGGCGCAGCAAGTGCTGGAGCAGGCGCCGAAGACTTCCACAGGGGCAGTGCCGGGAGGGGAGAGCCCGCGCCCCTGGGGCCGAGGGGCCAGCGCGGACAGGGAAGCCGGGGCAAGGACTGGTGGAGGGCTACAGGGGCTGGGCTGGCAGGGCTCGGCAGGCCAGGGTCCAGCCGTGGGAAGGGAACGAGGCCAGGGCTCACGGCCAGGGAGGGAAGGTCGGCGGCCCTGCTTCCCTCGGCCCGCGCTCCTCACCCCGTTGCAGCTGGCCCGTCTGTCTCCCCCGGCGCCCGCCAACGGAAGGGGGGCCACCGCGGCGCCTGGC